CACGCACGCACGCACGCACGCACGCACGCACGCACGCACGCACGCACGCACGCACGCACGCACGCACGCACGCACGCACGCACGCACGCACGCACGCACGCACGCACGCACGCACGCACGCACGCACGCACGCACGCACGCACGCACGCACGCACGCACGCACGCACGCACGCACGCCAGCAAAACACTCATACGCATAAAGTAAATCTTTTAAGTTTATAAGGAAAAATTAATGGCTGTTTGAAGTGAACACACACCTGAACCAGTACATTTTCCCTATATATGTATGTCTCTCCTTATGATGCTTTTATTGCTTATCACTTACAAGTTTTTAATTCCAAATATTTCTTGTAATTCAGCCATTACCATGGATCTTCGAATATCCCCAAATGCTTTTGCGAATGCTCGACTGTAAATGGAACAGAGTAAGCATTTACTCCGAGGAAAGGGGGAGTTAGTTCAGCTTCACCTGTGAGACCACAGCGTCAGCTTTTTAACCTTGAAAATCTGATACTGATCTTTATATTTGGGTGAGTGAGTAGACAATTGATTTTTAGTGTTAAATGTCAGGAAATTAATTTATAAAGGAAATAGAAGAACCTTTGTAAAAATTAGTGAAAGTTGTCTTTAGTGTGTGTAAATATTACCCCATCTCCTTATTTTATTTCCCTTTAAGACAGGGTTTTGCTGTGTAGTTCAGGCTGGCCTTGAATTTTTGGCTTTCTTCTCAAGTGCTATGTTCTGGTGTGTACCACAATGCTTTGCTATTCTTCTGTTTTCCTTTATCCCACTTTTGAGGAATGAATGTAACTTTTCCATCTAATTTTTAGAGTCTTGGTAAGAGAAGTTTTAAAGAAAATTTGAAGTCTTGTTTGAATAGTGTTTGAGCAGTGTTGACATTTTTCCTTGTTGCTCTTCCAAATCTTCAGGAACTTTGTTAAAGGAGAAATACGTTACTTGGTAAAGAATTTTTCTTGTCAAAGTTACTGTTATTTAGTTGGTTGTAGAATCTACTTGATGAAGTATAGATTATAATCTCACCTTTTATTGTTTACCTTTCCTCCTGTCCTTCTCTCTTATTTTTCTTACCTCTTCTGTACCTACCTCCCTCCTTTCTCTTCCATCTTGGGTTAAATCTTGTGAGTAACCTTTCAGTTACTGAAATGCAAGTATATGTGTTGAGGGAAAAGAAGGAAAGGTTGGGATGAAATTCACTGAAAACATAGTTTGAAAGTTTCAAATTGTGATTTTTAAAAAATGAGTCTAGCTAAGTGGTGGTGGAACACCTTTAATCCCAGCACTTGGAAGGCAGGTGGAGGATCCCTGAGTTCCAGGCTAACCTGGTCTACAGAGCAAGTTCTGGGACAGGCTCCCAAGCTAAATAGAGAAACCTGTCTCTAAAAACCAAAGGAGGGGGGCTGGAGAGATGGCTCAGAGGTTAAGAGCACTGACTGCTCTTCCAGAGGTCCCAGCAACCACATGGTGGCTCACAACCATCTGTAATGAGATCTAGTACCCTCTTCTAGTGTACAAGCATGCATGCAGATAACTGTATACATAATAAATAAATAAAATCTTAAAAAAAAAAAAAAACAAAGGAGGAGGAGGAGGAAAAGGAAAGGCCCAGAAACATTACTAACTTGCCCAAAGTCACAACAGCAAAATTCAGATAGCTGACCCATCTCAGCAGCCATCCATTCCATACCACCCTGCCCCTCTCTGACCCCTCCCACCCCCCATGCTCCCACACCTTGCAGTTGAGATCAGAGTCCAAGCCATATCGTAGGATGGCCTTGGGTTCTGACATCATGGGGACTTTCACAGTCCTGTCCTCATCCAAGTGGAAGTCCTGGAGGCTCGTCTTTCTCGAGTCAAACTTTGTCACCCACTGCCCTGGAAGGAAACATATGGAGCTTCCTGAGCCAATGCCACCGGAAAGGCCAGGGGACCTGAGCTGTCAGTAGCATGGACACAGGAGCTTCTGGGTCCCAGCATGTGTGGTGTAGACCACAGGATCCGTGGTCCACAGGTGCTGACACTCTTCCCCTGGCAAACTCAGTTGGAAGTGAGTGGGTGTTCTCACTTTGGCCTTTTGTTTAAGGTGGCTTTTAATATGCTGGGTTGTGCTTGCTCTCCTATCCCCTGTGTACCGAGTAGGAAGCTCCAGGGGCTTCCTACTCGGTTAGGTGGTCCACTCTTGCTGCTACTCAGTAAGGCAGTCACATCTTCAGAGGGAAGTTGGTCAAAGCATTCCTGCTGCAAGCCCTTTTCTGAAGAAAACAGACCTTGTATGAGGCCTGTGGAAGGGTCTCCTGACACGTTACTACTGCCTAGAAGAGTGTTGGCAGGAAACTGGAAGCATTGTCCTGAGCACAGGTGGAATCCTTGGAGCAGGACAGGGTCTCTGTGAGAATGAGACAGCCCGTATTGTACAGTGAAGTGGATATGTAGTCCTCACAGGAAAGCTGAGGAGACAGGGCACAGCCAGGATTAAACCTGGTCAGAGATCTGTGCCCAGTCCCACCCAGCCATTCACGTGTCACATGGAGCAGGAACACTTGGTAGATGATGAGATGAACAAGCACACATGGCTCCATACCCTCCTCTGGCCTTGCACCTGCATTGTGTTCACCACCACCACCACACACCTGCCATCCAAGAGAAGTGGGGAAGCCCTCACCCTTGAAGTAAGCCACACCGAGGAGGAGGATGCTGATGGCACTGGGCATTTCCCTTGTAGACCGAGCAAGTTTCCCTTTCATCTGGGCCTGTATCCAGTTGTTAATTTCCTGGAGGTCTATCCGAGGGTTGCCAGTGAGGATTCTGGGCCTGGTCCCATATGATTTCTCCAGAGGTGCAACAAAGCTGGATCTTACTCGAAGTTCTTGAGAGGAAGCAGATCAAAGATCAGTGTGTGAGAGCTCAACAAGCACCCTTACTTTGAAAGCATTCCAGACCCCAGCTTCCTGCTCAGCATCTTCCCCTGACTTGCTGGGGCATCTGCCTACTTGCCCAAACCCTGGACAAGGAACAATGGATTCCACCCATTGCCTTCCCCTTCATGTCACAGCCCTCCTGGACCCTCCTGCTGTCTCCCACAGTCCACTTCCTCTTTCCGATCTTCTGTGCTCTCACAGGCCCTTTCCTGCCCACCAGCACCAGGCCTGGCCTGAGCACACACAGTCCATTGTTTAGACAGAACCCTCAGCATGAAGCACACAGACAACCCAGACCAGAAAAGCAACCATGTGTCAGGCATGATGGCTCATGCCTGCACTTGAAAGCAGGAGCAGCACTATGAGTCAGGGACTAGCTTGGACTACACAGACTCAGGAGTGGGGTGGGTGGGCTACTGACTTCTCTCAAACACAATTCTGGAAGCACTCTTGAGGCTCTTCTCTGGGGCAGTAACAGAGGCAAGGAGTTCCTTGTAGGTGCTATGGATGTCCGAGTTGCTGATCAAGTCGTAGTAAAGAGCCCGGTGAATGATGGACTCTGTTCGTTGTTCAGCTCCTGCCAGGGAGAAAAGGATGGCAGGCTTCATGGCTATCCATGGGACCCAGAGCAGGACAGGGATAGTGTACACCTAGTCTGTTGTCTTCTGAGAGCCCAAGGAGGCTGACATTGCAGACATTCTATATAAGTGAATGAGAGCTTCAAGGAAAATATAACTGCATTGCTAGGAAAAATTTCTAAAATAGGCCAAGGCCATCAGACCTACAGAGAGAGAAGAGTGGGGTGCAGTCCCTGAAGTTTTCCCTTTGCTACCTACACTATTCTGAGGAGGAACCTGGGCCTGCTCGTGGCAGTACCCCTAGAACCTGGATAAATGACTAACACACAATAGGAGTCCACTTAGGAACCAAGAATTGAGTGTCACTTTCATAAAGTGGTAGGGATTGTGTGTGTGTGGCCAGTGCCTGGCCAGAGGTGTAGCCCCCACTGTCCCTTTCCTGCTCTCCCGGCAGCATATGCATAGAGACTCCGTGGGAAAATTCAGGTTCACTTGCAGCCTCCTTCGGCTGACACTCACCCAGAGAAAGAGCAGAGAGGGCTGTGGCCACACTGAGTGGAGACAGCAGAACGTTGGCAGTTGGGCTGGCACTGGATCTCAGGCGGTACAGGTCATAGCCGAAGTTGGAGACTGCTGCTGCCAGCTTGTTTACCGGGACCTTGAAGAAGGGGTCCTCCTCCTCCTCCACTGGCTCCCCTGTGCTGTCAGGGGCTGGGGAACCCTGGGTCAGAATACAAGGACCAGTGGGGAAGACACAGTGAATGGCAACACCTCCAGGTTGGGGTTGTCCTCTGGTGCCTGGGGTCCATTAGTCTAAGGTTGGAGTGAGCATGTGCACTCTGACTGTACATAACCTCTGTGCTGGGAAGAGACAACCAAGAGGGTCCACCGAGCTTGAACTGTGACCTGAGAGCAGGGAGCCTGGCCTACTTTAAAATAAAAATGGCAGGGCTGGGGAACTAGCGCAGTTGGGAAAGTGCCAGCCTGTCAGCATGAGGACCTGGATTCAATCCCCAGAAGGCACACAAAAAAGGCTGGGCATGCTTGTAATCCCAGCACTGGGGAGGAAGAAATGGGCAGGTCCTGGAGAAGTCAGTGTATTCCAGACCAGTGAGGGGTCCTGTGGATTGACTTCTGGCCTACAAACACAATCTGTCTCTCGGCAGGAGACCTCACTACCACCACCACCACCAAAGAAACCTGTCCTCAGGCCATACCACACTCCTGCTCACCCTTTCAGACTGTTCTGAGTCTGCCTAGGTTCCTTTTCCAGTGTCAACCACTTCCTTATTAGCTAGCTGCTATGTGAGGGACTCTGCTAGTTTTTGTTTTGTTTCTAGGGCTAGGGATCAAGCCCAGGCTCTTGCATATGTTGGACAAGTGATTTGACACTTAGCTACATCTCCCATTCCTGATGCTGTTTGGGGGTATAGGAGGGTGGTAAGACGTGACTCTGGCTGTCCTGGAACTCACTCTGTAAATCAGGCTGGCATCATCAAACCACTGCCTCTGCCTCCCGAGTGCTGGGATTAAAGACGTGCACCATCACAGCAAGCTCAGGAATTGAGTTCTTTAAAAGTAAAATCTGAGGAGCTGGTGATAGAACTCATCAGGCAAAGGAGCTTGCCACTCAAGCCTGGGGACCTGAGTTTGATTCCCAGAGCCCATGTGAAGGCTGAAGGAAAGAATTGACTGCAGAGTTGCTCTTAGTCTCCACATACATGCTGTGCCACAGGTGCCCACACACAAGAATAATAAATATGCTGGTGGTCATGGTGCACACCTTTAATCTCAGCACTCAGGAGGCAGAGGCAGGCAGATCTCAGATCTCAAGACTAGCCTGGTCTACAGAGTGAGTTCCAGGACAGCCAGGAATGTTACACAGAGAAACCCTGTCTTAAAAAAAAAAAACAAACACGGGGCTGGAGAAATGGCTCAGAGGTTAAGAGCCCGGCCTGTTCTTCCAGAGGTCCTGAGTTCAATTCCCAGCAACCACATGGTGACTCACAACCATCCGTTATGAGATCTGGTGCCCTCTTCTGGTGTGCAGAATGGAGGCAGAATGTTGTATACATAATAACTAAATAAAATCATAAAAAAAAATGACAAGAGCCATAAAAAAGAATAACAAACACATATTTTAATTAAAAGCAAAATTAGCCTCATTTATTTTTGTTTGTTTGTTTAGGTTTTTCAAGACAGGGTTTCTCTGTGTATCCCTAGCTGTCCTGGAACTCACTCTGTAGACCAGGCTGGCCTCAAACTCACAGAGATCCACCTGCTTCTTCCTCCTGAGTGCTGGGATTAAAGACGAGTGCCACCACTGCCCACCTGAATGCTGGGATTTTTATATTTCTATCCATACCTACCAACCACAGAATAAGTGTTCATGGGCAGGGCTAATACAGCACTTGTGTAGCATGTGAAAGGTCCTGCGTTTTGAGGCAGGTGGTTACTAGATAAGGAATAAGTGAATGGCCATAGTGGCCTTGTTAGGAAACAGACTAAATATACCCAACTGGCTTGTGCCTTGTGTGACAAGACCCTATCCCTACTTCCTCTGCACAGGAGAGGCTTCTCCATAGCCTGAATGGTAAGGCAAATATTTGTCTTGCCACTGGAGAAACCAACTAAAGGAATGAAAGCCAGAGCCCACCCCGGACCCAGCGCTGCCTCCCTTTGCTGGCTCCGAAGAGGAGCTAGAACTCCTGCTGCCCACCCTACTGACCTCAGAGCTGCTGGCGACATTCTGGCTGCTGCCATGCCCAAGCAGGGCTCCTGTCCAGAGGAGTAGCACCAGGGCCTGCATCCTGGGAGAAACAAGAGGGCAAGTGACTCCCCTTCCCACCGCCTGTGCTGCCACCCCACCCTTCATAGGGACAAGAGTCAGACAGGATGAGAGCTTTCCCTCCAGCTCTCAGCCCCCAAAAGGACTCGAAGCTTAAGGTTTGCTGTCCCCACCCACACCTGCCTCCTCTTTAGCGTGAGCTGTGCCTCCACAATAGTTCCTATAGGAAGACCCACCTTCTAGCCTAAGGGCCAGAATGGGCCAGAGCAGTGAAGACCCAGCAGTGGACTCTTCTGGCCCCAAGAAAATAAACACACACCCAGGTTTTTTCATGGAGGCATACAGCCAGCTCATTTGGTGGGGCTCAGAGACTCACAGAACCTTGGGCTAGCCCTGCTATCCACCAAAAGTTTTCTGGCCAAAAGCAGCTCACGATAAGGACACTCAGTCTATTCGCCCCTCTCTCCTTTTTTTTTTTTTTTTTTTTTTTTAGATAGGATCTTGCCTGTGTAGCCCAGGCTAGCCTTGAACTTGCAGCTACCCTCCTCCCCTCCTCCATCTGCCTGCTGAGTGCTGGAATCCCACTGTTTGACACCCACTGTGCCTGGCTTGACCACAGTGTCCCATCTCAATAGCAGTTGCTTACTCAGTTAAGAGGGTGCAAACTAGGCCCACACTGCCTGGGATCAAACCCCAACTTCATAGCTGTCCAAAGAACAAACCCCTCCATATATAGTAGTATTTACTTACTGTTATGAGCGTTATATTATATAACCTCTCGCTCTCTTTTCTTTTTTGAAGCAGTCTTGCTATATGTAAGCTGGCCTTGAATGTGTGGTCCTCCTGTCTCTGCCTCCTAAATGTGCACAACCACATCTGCCTAGATAGTATCTTAGCAGCCCTTAGCAGTGCCAGGGGTTGGGAAGATCTCAGCTGTCCCTTCCACTGGCATCTCTTCTGAAGGGCTATGTCTTCTCCCCCACTTTAAGGAAACAGCTCTTAACCCCAAAGCCTGCCTGTCAGCCTGCCTTCCTTCCTAACTTCCTTCCTTCCTACCCTCCTTCCTTCCTTCCTTCAGGTTAAACAACACTAAGTTTTGGTGGGACCTCCTATCACCTCCCGAAGCAGCGACCTTTCTGCCCAGACTCTGGTCTGGCACTTGGAACACAAAGCAAAATTCCTGTGCTCCTGGAGTCAGGTCTAGGGTTGGGGTACGAGGTCCACAGAAAAGTTTATTCTAGAGACGGAAAAGACCACTGTCTGTCGTGGCATGGCGTGTCCTCCGCCCATCCTACAGCACACATACCCAGAAATGCTCCCTCAGCTCCATCATTATCCTGTCACATACACTTGCCCTCCCCCACCACACACACACACACACACACACACACACACACACCATCAACTCTTCTGACTTCCCAGAACAAATTGGATCTGAAAAATTTGGAGTGCAATCTGCAGTCATTGGCTAAGTTCTTAGAATTAAGTCAGATAATCCACTAGACAACTGTAGCCCATGAGGGGAAACAAGACAAAGTTTCCTCTGCTTCCAGCAGCAGCACCAGCAGAAACCAGCCTCCCTTGTTCTAACCCCTCATCTATGGCAGATCTCCCAGTGGGAATTCTAGGGACCCCTGTGTTCTCACCCAGGGCACTGCCTCCCAGCTTCGTGGGGGAAAAAAACCATTGGAACAACAGAAAAGTGATACAGATTATAGCCCTCCCCTCCCAGCCTCACCCATCACAGGCAGAACCCTCCCCCTGCTGAGCCTCAGCAGGCTGATTTATCAAAGATGCACAGAAAGCCCCCTCTGGTCCCTCTGGGTGGGTATCGACTGAGAGAAAACGGTCACCCTTGGCTCCTATTGCAGGAAGTAAGTGAGATACACTTGCAGAAGGGGCCTGCCAGAGTTCCTCCAGGGTCTAAGTCACAGATCACTGTCACCACCACATGGGTAGGCTGAGAACTGAAGCTGAGGTAGTGAACCTGGTGGGCATGGGGAGACATGGGAGTCCAGTGCTAGCCCAAGAGCTATAAGCAGGGCAAGTGTTAATGGAAGTGTGAAATCTTCACCTGAAGCCACAGGAATCAAGGAAGTGGAGACCCTGAAAGGCAGGAAGTAAGGGTCTGCAAGAGGGGCCCCAGGACACATACAGTGCCCTGGGAGCTATAACTGGGTTGGGTAGGCAGCTACTGACTAGCCAGGGGAACTGGGACAGTGATGCCATTCTGTCCAAAGAGCAGCGTCCAAGCCAGATTCCTGGGCTACAGGTTGGGGAGGGCATGGGAAAGGGTCAAGATTGTCCCCTCTGAGCCAAGGTCTGCCCCAAATCAAGAGGCACAGAAACTGGGATGTTGTGGTCTCAAATCCAAGCTGGGAAGACAAACGGGAGCCAGTACATGTGTTTCAGATTAAACCCAGCTGGGAGACAAACATGTTGCTCCTCCTCCACTGCTTCCTCCTCCCAGAACCAAGCCGCCTTCAGGCCACACAGCAGTGGACATGTGGACAGAGCAGGGGAGGACACCTCCCTCTCTGCTGGCTCAAGGCTACACCACTCACCTCTGGGGAAGTTTTGTGAGAGTTTTGTTGGTTTGGTTTGGTTTGGTTTTTTCTGAAATCTTGGAACCTGAAACACCCCATAGTTGCACCTCCCAGCACCCCAGAAAAGCCAGAACTCCCTGGAGCCAGAACTCCTTGGTCCCCACCCATCCCCCTCAGCCTGGAGGCTGAACTGATGGGGGCAGCTAAAGTCCAGATAGTGGTTGGCACTTGGAAAGCTTGTCTCTTTTCTTTGACCCAGACCACTCCCTGCTGTGGCTTCCTCGAGAGGTAAAAAGACTGCAGAAGGGCAGCCAGACCCCACACACCAGCTAGGCTAAATGGTGCTTATTGTTTGCAAGAGGCCATGACCTCATTTGTCTCCCATTCACTTGGTAACAGAATGGGTGGGAGCTGGAGAGAGGACCTAGCAGGCATCCCATCCCAGCAGGACTCAGGCAGCCAGCTGCTCCTTGGTGGGAGGGGTGGGGAGGATGGGGGATGCAGGGGGGGGGGCTTCAGCACCAGTTGATTGTGAAAAGCAGCAATCTGAGAGGAGCCAGGCTGGGTTACAGGAAGACCACCTTCCTTGCTCACTGCTGGTGGAAGCAACTCCAGGGAGAGCCCTGCCTGTGAGATGATAACCCCTTTGGGATACTGTTCAGACCAGACCAGAGCTGCCCTCCCCACTGCCCACCACCATACCCCCACATTGTTTTCCACCCCATTTAAACCCCCATGCAGCCTCTCCTTCTGTTGCAGTGGGATAATGTAGGGGATAACAGTATCCCGGCCCTCCGCCCCCCAATTCTCTTCTTTCCTCTCATCTGTTTACCTTTGTCCCTAAAGTACAGAGGCTACTATATCCCTACCTCTACCTCCTTGTACCCCTCTTTTCTGCTCTCTGGGGTGCCCCTGCTCTTCCCTGTCCCTCTGGCCAAGGGGCCTGTCCCGTCTGTCTTCTCCAGCCTAGACCAGGAACTGCCTTACCTGTTGTCCACAGCAGCTCCTCTCTGAGTTTAGGTCCCTCTCAGCCTGCACCCTGAGGGGGCTCTAGCAAGCAGGGGAGTGAATAACTGCCTCCCAACCCAGCGTCCAGCAGGCTTCAGATTACAGCTACTCCTTTCTTAAAGTGACCTGACTCAATTTGGAGTCTGTGATTGCATCATTGTCTGGTGTTAACTTTAACCCACTGCTGCCCATCCATCCTATGTCTCCAAGACCACACATTCATGTCACCCTCCTCTCCCACCACATCTTCCTTGGGCCTTCATCCCTCCTCAGTGGGACCCTCCACATGATGGCTAACGTCACAGGGCACTTGAGGCAGCCTGGGGTAGGTCATGAATCTGAACCTGAACATCAGAAAGGATTGGCTGAGAGGTGGGCTGCATGGAGACATTGGGTTCTTCCAAGTGGTTAGCTTTGCCTCTGCCTGCAGTAGAGGAGAAAGATAATTCTCCCTGTCCTGGAAAGCAAAAGGATGGACTGGGACTGTCTGTTCTGGAGTTCCGTGTTCTCTGAAGATTACAGAGGATGGTGGGGGCTGGAGAGATGCTCCGTGGTTAAGAGCACTGGCTGCTCTTAGAAAAGACCTTAGTTCTGTGTCCAGCACCCACACCAGGAACTCACAACTGCCTGTAACTCCAGCTCCAGAGAATCTGATACCCTCTTCTGGCTTCCTCAGGTACCACACACATACAGACACACACACACACACACACACACACTAAAACCTTTAAGAAGAATAGAAGGGACAGTGGGGGAAACATCTGAGCAGAGGAATAAATGAGGTGTACAGGACACCTGTCACTAGAGGAGGCCCACGCTACAGGTTTGCTGCACAGGGGAACACTTGCATTCAGTTTGCCCTGGGGTATTAGAACTTGTAACAGAATTTCAAAACTAAAGGTCAACAAGTGACAACTAGAGACTCCAAGCTGAATCCCCTTATCTGAAACACCTAGGATCCAAAGTAAACAGTTTTGAATTGGGGATCTGGAGTATTTGCATCTACATGAAAGATCTTGGGAATGAAACTTGAAATTCTAAATTTGAAATTCACCTCCTTCATATAACTCTTAATACACACAGCCTGAAGGTAGTATTTGTGTAACTGGTATGGTGTCTATAATCCCAACACTTAGAAAGTGGTGGCAGAAGTTCAAGGCCAGCCTTAGCTACACAGTAGATTTGAGGCTAGCCTGGGCTACATGAAACCCTGTGTCATAAAATATAAAGAAAAGAAAAAGTGGCCAGTGAGGTGTCTCAGTAGTCACTAGGAAAACCTGAGTTCTATCCACAGTACCCATAAGGAAGGAGAGAACCAACTTTGACATGTGTTTCTCTGACTTTCTTGTGTGTGCCACTGTGTGTACACACACACACACACACACACACACACACACACACACACATACACACACACACAAAATAAATAAATGTAATGATTTTTTTTAAAGAACAATATTTTTGTTACTCTTGCTCATGGACAAAGTTCATCACATTGAACTGTCAACGGTGTAGCATGGGATCTGCTCCAGAGAGCTGAAGGTTGTGGAATGCTTCGTATTCCACAGCTGCTCTGGTTTAAAATGTTGCTCTCTAGACCTATATAGCAAATGTTTTTTAGTCTGACTAAGAAAGCCTGATAGCCATTCAGAGAAGAAAAGAGGAAAAGGCTCAAAAGAGAGAAAATGTAGGAGACTCTGCTGGCATTCTCGAGGAAGCCCAGAAAGCAGAGCTGGGACCAGTGAGATTTTGCAGTGGGCAAGGTTCAACTTCATAGGAAGGAGAGTGTCAACAGTCAGAGTCCAGGTCCTTTCAATAAAGAAAAACTGCTGTGTGACTCTAGGCAAAGTGCTAGTGTTAGCGGGTAAAGGCACTTGCAGTCTAAGCCTGGTGATGTGAGCTCAATCCTAGGTGGAAGAAGAGTGCCTACTCCACAAAGTCGCCCTCTGACCTACACACACACACACACACACACACACACACACACACACACACACACCACACGCACGCACGCACGCACGCACGCACTGGGGGGGGAGGGGGAGAGAGAGAGAGAGAGAGAGTCAAAAACTATCCCGTGAAAATTTCTCAGTTAATCTCCCATATCACCCAGGGGTGTCACATTCTGAGCACAGCTGACTTTGATATCTTCCCTGGTTGGTTGGTTTGGGACCAGACCTCACTATGTAGCCCTGGCTGGTCTGGAACTCACAGTGATCCTCTTGCTTCTGCCTTCCCAGTGTTGTGATTTAAGGTGTGCCCTATCACGCCCAGCATATTCTTTAAGCAATACCATGCTCTAAAAAGCAAATCCAGGCAGGACAGGATGGTAAACACCTGTAATCCTAGTTCTTGAAGAGTAGAGGAAGGGCAATCAAGACTTTAAGGCAATCCTCCATGTAAGAGTTGGAGGCCGGTGGGGGAGAGAAGACTCACTGGTTAAGAGCACTGGCTGGTTTTCCAGAGTTCTGGGTTCCATTCCCAGCACCCACATGGTGGCTCTATAATAGAGTCTGATGCTCTCTTCTGACATAAAGGCATACATGAAGATAGAGTCCTCATACATAAATTAAATAAATAAACCTTAAAAAAAAAAGAGTTGGAGGCCAACCTGGGATACATAAGACCCTATCTCAGAAAGAAAAATATGGGGCCTATGAGATGGCTGAGCAAACAAAAGTACTTGACACTAAGCATGATTGATGACAACCGGTGGATTCCCCAGGACTCACTTGGTGGAAGGAGAGAAATGATTTCCTCGGGTGATTTTCTGATCTCCACATGCATTCTCCATGGCGTACACATATACATCCAAGTAGGTAAAACAAACAATAATAAATAAATAGCTGGGTGTGGTAGCACACATGTGATTCCAGGATTCAGGAGACAGAAGGAAAAGTGCTGGAAACTTAAGATTAGGGACCTGCATAAAGAATTCCGTGCCAACCAGGAATACACAGTGAGACTCCATCTCTAAAAATTAAAATAAAATAAATAATGCCCAAAGAAGTGCAAACTGTAAGGTAAAAGGTTGATGATGAATGTGGCATTAAAGTTAGCAATTTCTCTTTTCAAACAAAGATATCATAAAACAAAGAAACGCCTGGCAGTGGTAACACATGCCTTTAATCCCAGCAGAGGCAGACAGATCTCTGTGAGTCTGAGGCCAGCCTGGTCTACAAAGCTAATTCCAGGACAGCCAGAGCTGTTACACAGAGAAACTCTGTCCAAAAAAAAAAAAAAAAAAAAAAAAGCAAACAAAAAACCAAAGAGAAAACACAACCACACCAAAACATTGGAAAGTAATGAGAAAACAAAAAAAAAACCAAAGAAAAAACACAACCACACCAAAACATTGAAAAGTAATGAGAAAACCAAAAACAAAAAGGAAAAGGCATTGAGAGATGGCTCATTAGTTAAGAGCATTTTTTAGTCTTGCAGAGGATTTGGCTTAGCAAATTTCCAAGCACCCACGGGGTGGCTCACAACTCCATAACCCCAGTTCTAGGGGATCCAATGCCCTCTTCTGACTTCTGTGAGCACCAGGATCGCATGTGGTGCATAGATACACACTCAGGCAAAACACTCATAAAATAAATCTAACAACAAGTTTTAAATAAAAAAAAAAAAAAGTAAGAGACGTCGGGTGCTGGTGGCGCACGCCTTTAATCCCAGGGCTCGGGAGGCAGAGGAAGATGGATCTCTGTGACTTCGAGACCAGCCTGGACTACAAGAGCTAGTTCCAGGACAGCCTCCAAAGCTACAGAGAAACCCTGTCTCAAAAAACAAAAAAAACAAAAAGCAAAACAAAAAAAAATGGACAAGCCCGAAGCTGACTTCCAATATTATTCTTTTTGTTTGTTTGTTTGTCTGTTTTCGAGACAGGGTTTCTTTGTGTAGCACTGGCTGTCCTGGAACTCACTCTGTAGACCAGGCTGGCTGGCTTCGAACTCACAGAGATCCGCCTGCCTCTGCCTCCCAAGCGCTGAGATTAAAGGAGTGAGTCACCACTGCCCAGCCTCAATATTCTACTTCTACAAGTCCTGCACCAAAAGCCTCCCACAGGACTGGAGATAAAGCTCTGAAAGGGTGCTTGCCTGGCATGCATGAGGTCCTAGATCCCATCCCCGATTCCACCAAAGAATAAAACGAGCATATGCAAACAAGGAATTATTCGCAGGGAGTATAGCTGCATTGTTTCCAGTGTTGCGTTTGCTTGATTTTTTAAAGAAAGCTTCTAGTGTGACCTCAATCCAGTTGCTCTACTCCACTGCCAGTGCCTCCCCAGGCTGCACCTGAAGAAGGGGATTGGTAAAGAGGGCTCTCTACATCGTAGCTCCCACCAAGCCAACCATCACAGATGCATGATGGGAAAGCATGCTGGATGCAACTGGCTGCCAAAGGCTCTGGCAAGAGTGCGCCCTCTACTGGAAGAGTGGAGAAAGCTCATTGTTTCATTCTTGGTTCTGTGGGATTCCCGGAAATTAGACAACATCCAAAGTTCACCCAACAGACTCTCAGCCTCTTCTTTTAGTGTCTGCTACAAGAAGTTACTCAAGGCTTCAAAACAGGTCTGCACTCCCAGGGCACAGCTGTTAGCACTTGCTGCCAAGCCAGAAAGAGTCCACAGCCAGAAGATGTCCTCTGACCTCTACTTGTGTGTTAAGGCACATGTACTCACATGCAAACATAAACCTACAAGAATGTGCAAATAAAAAAAATTTAAAGACATCTCCTAGGACTGGGGTATAGCCTGGTGTAGAGCAAACTTCCCCAGCACATACAAGACCCTGGGTTCAATCTGAACATTGAGAAAAAGAAAGAAAAAAAAAAGAAAGAAAGAAAAACTTTTATTATCTGAAAGTCTCCTTTTTATGCTACATCCCCTAAGGTCACTGCCCATTTCCCTCACAGCCATGATGGAAAGAGCTGTTTGCTCTCGTGTCTACATAGTTTCTGCTCCCGCTTCCTCCTCCCCTCTGTGCCTCTGCGCCCACCTTCTCTAACACTGCCGCCATCACCTGGGTGACTGGTGTTCCCTACCACATGGAAACTCCAATCTCAGCGGCAGGCAGCAAAGCAGTGTTCCTCCTTCTTGAAGCCCATTCTCTCTACAGTTCCCATGTCCTCCCATCTCTGTCTCTGCTTGCTTGATCTGGGACCCTTTTCATTCCTGTTACATTGTCTTCCCCTTAAGGGATTTCTTCCTGTTCAGTGTCTTCCCCACACCACTAGGGATGAAACCCAGGCCCTTGCAGGAGTTAAGCAGGAGCCCCATGCAGCCCCTAGTTCCATGACTTAAAGCATCTCTATGTGTCAAGTATACACTCCCACCCCTTACCAAAGCATTCAGTCAATCCCTTGACATTTAAAATGGCTACCTTCAAAACCATCATTAGCAATTCCATGCCTACCAGATCCACATGGTAGCCCAGGAATGAATTTATAGGACACTTCCAACAGCAAGACTGAATGCTACTAATTAGTTCAAATGACAGGAATAGTCCTAATTTTTCCAGTCAAAAAGGGACGTGTGATTGGCCTGGATTAGCATAACATTTCCATTATAACGAGTTTAAATTGCAAATCCCCCATCCACTCCATAGTCTTTCTGCTTCCCAGATCAGCCAAAGGGACCACCCCTACCCGTTCCTTTACAAAGAAACCCTAGGAATGGCAATGCCAAATACCATTGCCCTGAGTACTTCCTTCTCCTCCCTCCCAAGAAGAATTCTATGGCTTTGATCTGCACCCTGGGTGGGCCAGCCAACCAGCTTCTTATTCCCACCTCATC